TCTTAACGTCATCCAGTTTTTTGAGCTTACCATCCACTTAAGGCAATCCAGACATCCCATTTGGGAGGCAGCGTGTATCGGTGCCATGCCGTCGCGTGCGCGTACATAAAGTGAACCGCCTGCTTCAAGAACCAAAAACTTCAGCACTTCCAAATGCCCTTCCTGCGCTGCCAAGTAGACTGGTGTAACATCGTTGTCCATTTGAGTGTTTGCACTAATACATATTTGCAGATTTGAATAATAGTAGAACAAAAATTAAAATATTGTATTCGATTTATTAACTGTTAACTAGTTATACAGATTATATCATAAAAAATTAGTTTTATATACATATAAGGTATACTAAAAACTAACGATTGACATATCGGTGATCCTCTGCAATAACGGCACAATTTAAAATTCAAAATATAAAATCCCTTGCTACTGTTAAGTGGCTCATGTCTGTAATCCTTATCTAATCCACGTCTACGCCTCACTAAAATAAGAAGTAAAGTTTTTATTTTTTGAATTTTTAAATGCGTCGTTATTGCAGAGGACCATCGATATGTAAGTAGGCACGTACATTAGGGCTGCAAAAAAAGTAAAGTCTGGAATTTTAATGCTCTAAACCCATAGGAGTGTTCTACATCGAAAAATACCCCTATTTTTAATTTGAAATAAAAAAATATTTAGAGGTCGCTCAAAGCGCTCGAAGTTTTCCATGTAAATATTTTATATGGGGAAAAAAGAACTTTTCGTAGAAATGGTATAGAATTCTTGGAAAACCATATTTTTCGATCGGAACACTCTAGTTCTCTTCAGGAAACTTCCAATAACAATACCCAATAGTTTATATAACCATTTTTTAATACTAAAGATTTTTTAGTGCCGCCCCCCCATGCATTTGCTTTTTATGTTCTGGGGTTTTTAACGGACCTATAAAATATAGTTACTATGAAAAAATTGTTAAATAAGTAACTGGGTATTATTATTGGGAATCTTCTTAAGAGAACAAAGTTTTCTGATTGACAAATATTGATTTTCAAGTAAATTAAATAGAAATTAGATAATTTATCATAAATCAAGAACCAAATGAAGAAAAAAATTCCCATTTATTTTAGCCCCCACTGTTGAGGAAATTAAAAAAGTGTCTAAAGGTAAGAAATTGTTATTATTATTATTATTTTTTTAATCAAATACAAACCGCACACTCGAACGCACACGTGCTAATCACATATCTATAGCAATTACGATAGAAAATGTGAACGTACTTGGTTTATGTGAACATAGTTTTAGGGTGATTGACTCGGTTTTTCTAATTCTTGGAACCTCAATTGATTCCAATAAATGAATGCTTGGTGCTTAAACGTATTCTATGTGCCGATATTCTCCTCCAATTCGTGATATGCTTCGTGATGTTGTTACACAAATGGAGAGATCTACACTTTTACTTCACCTCCGAAGAGGATTTTAAGGCAGAAGTACATTCGGAGGTGGCGGCCACTGTGGTGTACGCTTGCAAAGATCAAAACGTCAAATAAACATCGTATTTTATTGAATTCAATGCATATTTTGCAATTTTTAAGTATATTTTAAAAACTTTAGTTACTTTTAACCTCTCAGCTTCATTTTCCGGTTCAAGACCACCCTGTAAAATATTTTGACCGGATATTTTTACATTTTGAATGAATATTTTCCAGGCAGAAGAAGAACAGTTTTTACTTGTATGCACAATGCCCACTCGATCCAGTCATTTAATGTATCTGAAGCGTGCAATCGATAGGACGTAGAAAAGATATTTTCCCTTTACATTTTTTGTTGTTTACTTCTCCTGTGACCGGAGTCATATGTTGCAAAAACTAGGAAAATCTAAAAGAACTTAACAGTACAAAACAAGGAAGATCAAAAGACTCAGAGCGTGTAGTCCCTAAGCGCGGAAGAAGTGAAACTTAATAGAGGAAAGCGGCCAGAAAGAATGAAATGTGCGGTATAATACACATGTACATATTTTCTAATATACAAAAAACATATTTATTTTAATTTTTTAACGACCTTTATTTTTTTTATTTTTTATAACCAACTGCAAAGTTTAATTATAATTTATGGCTGAGAAAACATCCATATCTACAATATTAACTAGTAGATTGTGGTAACTAAAGTAAGATATGAAAATATTATTAATATTTCTGGAAAAAATCCGCATCAATGGTAGACGCTTCTTCGGTTGTTGGGTCATTTCTACCATTAACCATTTCCAATGAAAATTTTTCTTTAAAAAAATTGTCAGTTCATCAGATTTGGCCAGCGAAAAGTTGNATTTTTAATTTGAAATAAAAAAATATTTAGAGGTCGCTCAAAGCGCTCGAAGTTTTCCATGTAAATATTTTATATGGGGAAAAAAGAACTTTTCGTAGAAATGGTATAGAATTCTTGGAAAACCATATTTTTCGATCGGAACACTCTAGTTCTCTTCAGGAAACTTCCAATAACAATACCCAATAGTTTATATAACCATTTTTTAATACTAAAGATTTTTTAGTGCCGCCCCCCCATGCATTTGCTTTTTATGTTCTGGGGTTTTTAACGGACCTATAAAATATAGTTACTATGAAAAAATTGTTAAATAAGTAACTGGGTATTATTATTGGGAATCTTCTTAAGAGAAAAAAGTTTTCTCATTGACAAATATTGATTTTCAAGTAAATTTAATAGACATTAAATAATTTATCATAAATCAAGAACCAAATGAAGAAAAGAATTCCCATTTATTTTAGCCCCCACTGTTGAGGAAATTAAAAAAGTGTCTAAAGGTAAGAAATTATTATTATTATTATTTTTTTAATCAAATACAAACCGCACACTCGAACGCACACGTGCTAATCAAATATCTATAGAAATTACGAAAGAAAATGTGAACGTACTTGGTTTATGTGAACATAGTTTTAGGGTGATTGATTCGGTTTTTCTAATTCTTGGAACCTCAATTGATTCCAATAAATGAATGCTTAGTGCTTAAACGTATTCTATGTGCCGATATTCTCCTCCAATTCGTGATATGCTTCGTGATGTTGTTACACAAATGGAGAGATCTACACTTTTACTTCACCTCCGAAGAGGATTTTATGGCAGAGGTACATTCGGAGGTGGCGGCCACTGTGGTGTACGCTTGAAAAGATCAAAACGTCAAATAAACATCGTATTCTATTGAATTCAATGCATATTTTGCAATTTTTAAGTATATTTTAAAAACTTTAGTTACTTTTAACCTCTCAGCTTCATTTTCCGGTTCAAGACCACCCTGTAAAATATTTTGACCGGATATTTTTACATTTTGAATGAATATTTTCCAGGAAGAAGAAGAACAGTTTTTATTTGTATGCACAATGCCCACTCGATCCAGTCATTTAATGTATCTGAAGCGTGCAATCGATAGGACGTAGAAAAGATATTTTCGCTTTACATTTTTTGTTTACTTCTCCTGTGTTGCAAAAGCTAGGAAAATCTAAAAGAACTTAACAGTACAAAACAAGGAAGATCAAAAGACTCAGAGCGTGTAGTCCCTACGCGCGGAAGAAGTGAAACTTAATAGAGGAAAGAGGCCAGAAAGAAAGAAATGTGCGGTATAATACACATGTACATATTTTCTAATATACAAAAAACATATTTATTTAAATTTTTTTTAACGACCTTTATTTTGTTATTTTTTATAACCAACTGCAAAGTTTAATTATTATTTATGGCTGAGAAAACATCCATATCTACAATATTAACTAGTAGATTGTCGTAACTAAAGTAAGATATGAAAATATTATTAATATTTCTGGAAAAAAACCGCATCAATGGTAGACGCTTCTTTGGTTGTTGGGTCATTTCTACCATTAACCATTTCCAATGAAAATTTTTCTTTAAAAAAATTTGTCAGTTCATCAGATTTGGCCAGCGAAAAGTTGACGTTGAAATCTTCTGCGAGAATTACAAGTCGATCATAACTGTCTACTCATCTTTATCTTCATCGTTATCATTCATCTTCATCTTCAACTTCATCNAAAAAAAACAAAGCGGTTTTACAGGGTTTCAAACTATTAGTGCAACAAAACACTGCCGATGGACTACTACTACTGTTTTTTAACTTTTCCTGCTGAAATTTGAGAAAATTTTTCTCTATATATTGTTAGTTTAAAGTGCTGTTTGTAAATTAAAACTAGGTGAGAAATATTTTTGTTAAAGTTTTTACTACGAGTACCATGTTGCCTCTAGTTTTAAAAATCAACATTCAATTTCACAAGCGTAAAATTTTTAAAAAGGTACAAATCCGTAAATGGACTTTACTTGCTTTTGCCCGCAGCCCTACCAGCAGCCCTACCCGCGGTCCGTACGTTTTAACGTTCGCTTCTTACAGGTCTAATCCGCACGTTACCGAAGATTTTGTAACTGGAAAATTTTATTACCAGCTATGAAGAATTTTGGCAATTCTATTCTGGCGTTGCATATTCTACGAGGCAATACTTTGTTACCACCTTATGAGATGGTAACAAAACTTACCGGTTACGAGAATACACAAAATGCGAAAAGGGTTTAAACATTGCCAGGCACTTTACTTTATTAGCCGATTACAAAATTTTTATTACCAGCGCAGATTAGACCTGTTTAAAGTTACAGCTGCACCACAATCTGTTATACCGAATGCTATAGAATTATGTTGGTCCTTTGACGCTCTTTATCAAATGGTTATCATAGTCGAGCCATATTTCCCTTTCCTGGGAATTCTGAGATACAAATCCTATATATCTCAGAACAAGGTCAACCGTATCTACATTTTTGGCCAGTCGCTATNCGAGTACCATGTTGCCTCTAGTTTTAAAAATCAACATTCAATTTCACAAGGATAAAATTTTTAATAAGTCACAAATCCGTAAATGGACTTTACTTGCTTTTGCCCGCAGCCCTACCAGCAGCCCCAACCCGCGGTCCGTACGTTTTAACGTTCGCTTCTTACAGGTCTAATCCGCACGTTACCTAGGATTTTGTAACTAGAAAATTTTATTACCAGCTATGAAGAATTTTGGCAATTCTATTCTGGCATTGCATATTCCACGAGGCAATACTTTGTTACCACCTTATGAGATGGTAACAAAACTTACCGGTTACGAGAATACACAAAATGCGAAAAGGGTTTCAACATTGCCAGGCACTTTATTAGCCGATTACAAAATTTTTATTACCATCGCAGATTAGACCTGTTTAAAGTTACAGCTGCACCACAATCTGTTATACCGAATGCTATAGAATTTTGGTGGTCCTTTGACGCTCTTTATCAAATGGTTATCATAGTCGAGCCATATTTCCCTTTCTTGGGAATTCTGAGATACAAATCATATATATCTCAGAACAAGGTCAACCGTATCTACATTTTTGGCCAGTCGCTAAGTAGCCATGTTGACACCAAACTAATTATCTGCATAAGTCCTCGACAAGTTAAAATAACTTAACAGCTGTGGCTCATGGTCCGTCGCTTTCAATTTGTTCCAAACTTAAGTGCAAAATGATGGTTGAATATACTATACAGATATTAATGAGTAAATAAAAGTTTAGTTGCCACAGAGTGACACTTCAATAATTATTTCAAGATTTCCCTGGAAACCATATATAAGTAATATATAAGTATCAACGCTGATGCACCTGCCATTTGATACATATGCATACGTATTTGAACAATTTCGTATATTTACGTTTACTAAATTTGGCCGGCGTGCATTGCTCGTGCTCTGCTGTGAATGAAAAAACAAAAGACTTAAGGCGGAAACCTGTTTGCCGCCTAACAGCCATGCCTACTAGAATTTGCTTATCTCAATGAAAATGTTGCCTTATTTTATGGGGACCTTATCTAAATGTTCTCCTGCGCCCTGAAAGAGGTGCAATTTTTTATATGGGAAAGTACGAAAAAATAATAATAAAATAACACAAACGACAATAACGCAAAATGTGCTTTATTTCACTTTTAAATGGGAAATAATACCAAAATCTGAGTTTTTCTTTATTCCAAACAAATCTATGGTTTTATTTCCACCTGTGAGATCTCTGCCAAGCATGCGTAATATTCTTCTATGATCCTGCAACTTCAGCATTGGTCCGGTGTACCATGTAAGCCAATAAAAGTGCTTATACGGAAACTCAAGAGCACAGATGAGTGTTTTCAATTATAGGAAGGCCAAGAATCCTCGCTGCCCCACATTGGCTAAATGAGTCGTGTGATCCTCTCATGAATATCGTTCAAATGAAGCCATTGCTTTACCTATTGTGTTCCTTCTTGGACAGATGTGGTCGAATCTTTCCTAGTCAATTCGCCACTTTTACAATTCGTCTTAATATTTATGAATTGGTTTCTTTGAGTCTTACTGCTGTAATAACGGCCGCCTCGAGCAACTTCGTCAATCGGAGGTAGATGCAAGGTCACGATTACACAGTGTTATGGTCTTTATATGCATCCTTGAAAGTAAATTCGTCTAAGATAAACATAGCGCGAAAGCAGAACAAACCCCGTGGGGGTTTCTATACNAACGGCCGCCTCGAGCAACTTCGTCAATCGGAGGTAGATGCAAGGTCACGATTACACAGTGTTATGGTCTTTATATGCATCCTTGAAAGTAAATTCGTCTAAGATAAACATAGCGCGAAAGCAGAACAAACCCCGTGGGGGTTTCTATACATTTCGGGTGCAGCGTCATCCATTGGGTCCCTTTTCTGCAAAACCTTTGCTTGTCATGAAATGAACACGAATTATGAATTCCAAACAGATTTTATAAAAAATACGGACTTTCTAAACGCTGCGAATTTGAACGAAATCTGTTAATAAATACGACTTTTATAAGTAACTCTACTCCAGCGCCACCTAGCGGGTCCCTTTTTCGCAAGTGCTTTTTTCATCATCCTTACAAAATCGGTTCATAAATAAAACTTTTATAAATGTAGATTGTTAAGTTTAAAAGTTGGTGCTATTGCTCAACGAGAAATGAAGTAAAGCGAATTTGCGTTATTGCCGTTTGTGTTATTTTACCCCCCTTCTCAAAGTTGTCTACTATTATCTGAAGCACTGCAATGCCGTGGTTCTATTATTCATCTATCTCATGGATAAGGATCTTAAATTTTAAACATATTTTTTGATACCTGTGGCTTACCTTACAATACTACGTCGGTTGTTGTGCTCTTTTCGTACAACAGCTACATCCTCAGCCGATACTTGTTCCTCTTTATTAATGTTTATATCCATCATTTCGGCTAAATCTGAGAGATCATCGTTAGAGACATGTTGTGATGAGTTATGTAGCTCACCACTAACACCGTTCACCTCGGCTACTACAGAAGAAATATCGTTGTTCGATTTACTTTTTACTTTGCTACGGCGATATGACGTGAAGCTGGTTGTCATCCTACCAAAAATGCCTTTTCTAGCACTGATTGTAGAGAAGTAACTGTCGCATGCAAACAAGTGGCAGAGGGATGAAAGATGAAAAGGTGCGATGTGTTAAATAATGAAGACACTTTTTGAAGTTTAGTCAAAGCAATATTAAAACTATGCAAAAGAGTGCAGTTCAGTTGAAGAAAGAAACCAAGTGACGACGAAAACGAATGGAGAAATACGAAGTAGTTAAATGGAACTCGATGATAGATGTACATACATATGTATGTAAAAAACCAAGTCTAAAATCTTTCAATCAAATTTAAAATTCATAGCTTTCATTAATGTTTTCATATGGAAACACTCTGACTTCTTTATTTAGCTTCACACACACATACACATACATATGTATATTAATTTTTGAGTATTCAATAATTTTAATTTCTTTGCAATTTTTCTGCCAACTATGTATGTATGTATGTATGTAATTAAATATAATTTTGTATTTCCGATACAACTATGCTGGATGAGTTTTTAACGTTTTCACTTTTAATAATAATCGTATGTATGTATTTTCTTGACAGCTTTCACAATAACACATCAGTTTGATTATATGAACATATGTAAATATGTATATGTACATATGTATTGCAGATATAAGGGGTAAAGATTAACGTTTAACTTTTACCCAACTTCTTACTTAAATATGCAAATGTAAATTTGACGTTTTCACAAGATAATCTATGAAGACTTGGTCAAATAGTTAATAATCACTTTTTAAAACACAATCGCTTCGCTTCTTATGTGTTGGTGAATGTACATATACATATGTATATGATAATTAAAGCAGCCTAAGAAAGTAGAAGACGCAACGTTACTGCTCGAATTTTCCACATTGAATGTTATTAAAGCCGATCCGAATCAAGTAAAGCAGCTCAACCAACCAAGTTCCATAGACAAGAGTTTGAATGCTTCGGCCAAGTCTTAATAGCAACTGAGGTACTATGTACGGATGCTAGACCGTCTAGTGCGCATCTATATGGAAATGTGTAAGTACTCGTATGAGAATGAATAAGTCTGCGTGTATGTATGTACATACACTCTTTGATTTTTCCAAATCGCTCGCTTCGTGTAACTCTTTTGATAGGTTTTTTGCACTACATTTCGTTCTTGCACCAACTTTTAGCAAAACGAATTAATTTTCATTATTTTATGTGGGCATACTTGCATATGTGCATATATCATACATTTTTATGTACATACGTACATATGTATATAAATATGACATGTTAAGCTGAAGAGTTACATTACTCGTAAAGATTTTCCACTATGCAAATACATATGTACATGTGTATGTGTGCGATCATTTTCAACGTATTCAAAATTTTTATTATGCAAAATTAGCATCAATCGGCTGGTTTATTTTCTACAACTCCAGTATATCTTCTATCCGAAGCGAATCCATTTAAGAGAGTGAATAAATAGTTAGGCTTAAATATGTATGTATATGTACATAGATTTTATTTACCTCTTCATTTTTATATACTTTTTATTGCAAAG